TCACTTCTTTCATTTTGAAGAAAATTTACAGTATTATTTCTTTTTATTTTTTCCTATCATCTCAAACACATGTGTGTATTATTTCTTTCTTTTAAGACTCTTAGACAAGTTATAAAGGTACCTTCTTAATTCTTTTATCCCTTGAGCTATTTCAAAATAGGCATGCAATTTATTCGATTTGCAGGAATTTTTCCTGGAAATAAGTGTGTTATAATCTGTAGAACCAAGTTTTAATATGTGTGCTAGGCCATACAAGTTATTAGACTTCATTTTCAATTTATATCACCAAGGTTAGGATGTTTTCCTTTTTAAGCTGGAATGCAAATTTACATTGTTGCTTAGTTATCTTTTTATTGTAACCACCATGCAACCTAATGATATATTATCCCATAATTTTCTTTTCCCTCCATGAATAAGGAACCTGTATCCCGGACTACTGATAACAATTCAGATGAGGAAGATTCTGGTACAGGAGAATCTGTTATGGCACCAGTGGATGTAGACCTGAACCTGGTTTCAAATATATTGGAATCTTATAGCTCCCAAGCTGGACTGGCAGGACCTGCTTCCAATCTTTTACACAGCATGGGAGTGCAGCTGCCTGACAACACTGATCACAGACCAACAAGTAAGCCAATGAAAAATTAACCAGCAAATTTAGCTTCTCTTTTTTCTTTTTAAATAAATAATGAATCAAATTCTGTTCATTTCTAATTTACTCATTTGGTAAAAATGTTTCTTCATTACAAGTTTTACAGATTGACTTCTCCTCCATGCCCCAAATGTGGCCCTCTTGGCACAAGTGTTTGTGATCTCAACTGTGGTTTACACACAACGTTTTGAACTCGGCAGGGTAGAATCTAGCCCCTAGACAACCTTGAGATAAGATTCACACACTTCATTCTAAGGACACACCCTCCCACGATATATCCTTGGGGTAATTCTTTTTTTTTTTTTTTTTTTGAGACGGAGTTTCGCTCTTGTTACCCAGGCTGGAGTGCAATGGCGCGATCTCGGCTCACCGCAACCTCCGCCTCCTGGGTTCAAGCAATTCTCCTGCCTCAGCCTCCTGAGTAGCTGGGATTACAGGCACGTGCCACCATGCCCAGCTAATTTTTTTGTATCTTTAGTAGAGACGGGGTTTCACCATGTTGACCAGGATGGTCTCGATTTCTCGACCTCGTGATCCACCCGCCTCAGCCTCCCAAAGTGCTGGGATTACAGGCTTGAGCCACCGCGCCCGGCTGCCTTGGGGTAATTCTAAATGTTTAATTTCTCCCTTACTTTTATTCATCCTCAGATTAAAATTTCAAGTTGACAAATTTGGATATGATAAATCATTCACTTTTTCTTTTTTTTTAATCTGACCTTATGAATGCATTAAGGCCATTATCATTCACATTTTCTTTTCAATTTTTTTAGGGAGACATATCATACATATGGTTAAGTGCACAAATCTTAAGTGTACAGTCAGTGAATTTTTTTGCATGTATGTACTTAAACCAAGATATAGAACTTATTTACTTGTTAAATAACAGGTTGTATCTCAATATAGGTTATATACCAAACAATTTACCCTTTAAATTCTACAAGTCAGTGGCTTTTAATATATTTACAAAATTGTGCTAACACCACCATCTAACTCTAGAATATTAGAAACCCCATGCTTACTAATAGTCTCTTATTCCCTCCTACTCCTAGCCCCTAGAAACCACTGGTCTACTTTCTGTCTTTATGGATTTGTCCATTTTGGACATTTCATACCTGATACTATACTTCTTTTAATTAATTGTTTTGATATTTAATATAACTGATATATTTATTGCTAAGATGAAATGCTTATCTCTTAAAATGATTCTCATATTCCTCCAAAATCAAGTATTATCTATATATCATAAAATTCACCATTAAAAGAGAAAGAAAGTCTTCTCTACAGATAGCTCCAATATTGACCATGTTTTTATAATCTAGGTCTTTTGGATTTTTCTTTATTATTATATACAGCAGAGAGATGCCCTTACCATACCTTACCCTATCCCAGTAAAAACAATTGAAATAATTTCATACTCTTCCCTCTCCAGTGACCTAGGGAGGAATTAGGAGAGTGGTGTAGTAGAGTTCTCATTTGAGAACTTACTATCAAAAACTAATAAAAATTAAATATGGCCAGACATGGTAGCACATGCCTGTAACCCGAGCACTTTGGGAGGCCAATGCTGGTGGATCATCTGAGTCAGGAGTTTGAGACCAGCCTGGCCAACGTGGTGAAACCCCATCTCTACTAAAAATATGAAAATTAGCCGGGTGTGGTGGCAGGCGCCTGTAATCCTAGCTACTCAGAAGGCTGAGGCAGGAGAATCGCATGAACCCAGGAGGCAGAGGTTGCAGTGAACCAAGATCGTGCCATTGCACTCCAGCCTGGGCAATCAGCAAAACTCTGTCTCAAAGATAGATAAATAGATAAATATACCATACTCCGCTCCAATCCTTTCTCTTATTTTTATAACAGTGTTCGTTCAAGTGAAGTAAAAAAGTAACACATCAGATGATATTGTATAACATTTTAATATTTTAAATATATTTTTATTATTTGTTGTGAGGCTACATTTCTCATGTTAAAAATGGGGTCCAGATACATGTGACCTGACATGAAAAATGTTATTTAAAAAAAATGGGGGCCGGGCGCGGTGGCTCAAGCCTGTAATCCCAGCACTTTGGGAGGCCGAGGCGGGTGGATCACGAGGTCAGGAGATCGAGACCATCCTGGTCAACGTGGTGAAACCCTGTCTCTACTAAAAATCTAAAAAATAGCTGGGCATGGTGGCGCATGCCTGTAATCCCAGCTACTCAGGAGGCTGAGGCAGGAGAATTGCCTGAACCAAGGAGGCGGAGGTTGCGGTGAGCCGAGATCGCGCCATTGCACTCCAGCCTGGGTAACAAGAGCGAAACTCCGTCTCAAAAAAAAAAAAAAAAAATGGGATCCAGAATGCCGTCCCAGCTTGACTATGAGAAAAAGATTTCCCCCATTGCACTTGTGGTACATTAGGTTTTTCTTCATTGAGGATTAAATATTGCATAGAGAAAGAGCAAAAGACAGGCAAAAATAGAAATGAATTTTTTTTAAATTCCAGTTACCAGGGTTGACTTTCAGCCAGACTTACAAGATTTTACTTGCTTTTCTATTCTGCATCATGCACCCAGATGGGTTCTATTTATCCTTAGCACCTTCATAATTCATTGCCCACATATATGTTCTCAGGTCAGGTAGGCCCTGTACCAAAGTTTCTTTTATTTTTCTGCCATTTTTAGTATCCCAAGCCTGCCCTTTTCTGCCTCAGCTTTCAAATATCCTTGGGGTTCTATAGCAAAGCTCTCTCCCCACTCACTACTGAGAAGCAAAGTTCAATGTTGCAGCTCCTGCTGTTAGCCACTCTCATCTTTTCTTTTCCAAAAACACATTAATCAAAAAACAAACAGTTACTCCATGGTAAGTCTGGGAGACTCATAACCAGGAATTCCGCACACTCCCCTTTCTATCAGTATTTTCAGATTGGGGATGTGTACACATGTTCTCACAAACACACCCACATAGCAATAGAAAAGATTGGGAGATGGTAATACACATGGACCCTGAACTGTTTTCTTCTAACTGCAAGATATGAGGAAATCTCAGGACCTCTCTTTTGCGAGTGCTTTTCTCTTCTGCATGCTGGGGTCAGCCCAGGTAAAGGCAAGCTGCCAATCTAACAAGACAATCAGGTCCCATAACATATTATCCCTCAACATTTCCTGATAAAGGCACTTTGATTTCCCTGAAGCAATGATGGTTTGCTGGCAATGGAGAGAGCAGTGATGTTTTGGGATCAAAAGGAAATTCCGTGCTTCAACTTTTCTACTTCTAGAATCTCTTTAGTCTTATGGGACTTTGGGATTTAGTCCTATGGGATTTTGATGTGTAAATAACCTTAGGGTCTGGAGCTTGTGTCTTTAATTACAAATTAGTGACTAGAATCTTCTGAAAATATGATTATTTCCTCTTTTCAGCAAAGACCTCTGACATTTCTCCTGCACATTGCTTCAGTTGTTCCACTGACTTGAAACCTGGTCTTAAATGTTTAATTGTCACCAATAGGGATCCTCTCCCCTACCCCCAAATTCTCACCTTGTAAAATTTTCTCTATCCATAGGACAGAAAAAGACATCAGAATAAAGGTGTGGACATTTATTTTATTTTCCCCAGATAAACTCTTCTCCCTTATGGCATCATATATGAATGATGAGAAATCCTAAATTTAGTTTATTCCATAAAGTTTAAGAAATAGGTCAGGTTTGGCATCTGTTTATCTCCACTAATCCCTTTGTTAATCAACACTTCGTGGATGTGCAAATGCCAGCAACTGTTTTACATTTAGGAAAACAGGCATGGCAAAGTGATAGTGTTTCCCTGGGTCACAAATGATTATGTAACAGCTGAAAACAGAAAAAAAAAGACTTACTGTCTGGAGTCCCATTAGGATTCTACTACCTCAACAGAGCCTCATGGCATCTGATTTATTGTAAAGTATTCTGAGTAATAATGACCTAATTATGACATTTATTTAACTACCATGTACAAGAATGTACCTGTACATAAATTTTAAAATGTTATACTGTGCTATTTTTCTTAATTCTGCAAGGGTAACAAGTAACTCAGTAATGACTTGAAACTTGCAATATATTTTCAATACTTAGATAAAAGGTTTTTATTTTCTTTTTTTTTTTTTGAGACAGAGTTTCGCTCTTGTTACCCAGGCTGGAGTGCAATGGCGCGATCTCGGCTCACCGCAACCTCCGCCTCCTGGGTTCAGGCAATTCTCCTGTCTCAGCCTCCTGAGTAGCTAGGATTACAGGCACGTGCCACCATGCCCAGCTAATTTTTTGTATTTTTAGTAGAGAAGGGGTTTCACTATGTTGACCGGGATGGTCTTCATCTCTTGACCTCGTGATCCACCCGCCTCGGCCTCCCAAAGTGCTGGGATTATAGGCTTGAGCCACCGCGCCCGGCCAGATAAAAGTTTTAACCAAATTTACAACAACTGCCAATTTACATTTTGGCAGTTAGTGTAAACAAAGCATTAACAAGCCATATGCCAGAAGATGTTTGCTTCCAAGGTCTTGGAACGAGGGCCTACATTCAAACTAATGCTTCCCTCTTCACCCTGATTTTGACAGTTGACAGCTCATCAGTTTTCTTCTCACACTGGCTTTTTGGATTGCCCATTAGTAGGAATTTCTTCCATTAACACTGATGATAGAGGTGTCTTACTGGAGGCTCACCCTCTGCTTTGCCCTTCAGAGGTCCTTCTGCAGCTAGTCTTTTGTCACTTCTCCTTTGTCAACTGATCTCTAGTTGGTTCCTCAGGAATACCAAGGAGAGATCCAAGTGACTTGATCTGGCCTAAGCAGGCAGGGAAGAAGAGGTCTGTTTTTCCACCCACTCCTTAATTAGTTGGTGGGAGATGGCTAACTTAGGGGGCAGCCAAAATGGGAAAGTCCCATTCTCTTTCTGAGTATAAGGGCCCTTTCTCTTCAGGGCTGTGGCTACCTCATGATGACTGAACCAGGCAGCTGTCTCTAGTTCTCTCAAGTTCACCTGGATCTGAAAGACATAAGAAAAGGATGTAAGGTCAGGAGCTACAAAATTTAAAATACTATGGCCAAAGGTCAGAAAATGGTTCCAGAACTAAGCAATCTTAGGAGATAATCTTAGGATCTCCAGGTTAGGTAAAAGTCAGTTCTAGATACTGCCCAGAAGCAAAAGAGGCATAATTAAGAGGTGAGAATTAAATAAATTTTTAATATAGTAAAACAAAGATATGTTAAATAAATCCTGGAAGTACAAATACTAAAATATTAAGAGTGGTTAACATTGAGGGTAAATTATGAATAATACCTATTTTTCCTTGTGCCTCTATTGATTGTATAAATTTTTCTATTAAAAAAGAACATACAAATATTACTTTTTATTTTTTTTTTTTGCGATGCAGGTTCACTCTTGTTGCCCAGGCTGAAGCGCAGTGGCGTCATCTTGGCTCACTACAACCTCCACTTTTCTGGGTTCAGGTGATTCTCCTGCCTCAGCCTCCCGGGTAGTGGGGATTACAGGCACCTGCCACCACACCTGGCTAATTTGTTTCTATTTTTATTACAGACTGGGTTTCACCATGTTGGCCAGGCTAGTCTCAAACTCTTGACCTCAGGAGATCCATCCACCTCGGCTTCCCAAAGTGCTGGGATTACAGGTGTGAGCCACTATGCCTGGCCACTCTTTTTTTTTTTTTTTTTTGTAAAGGATAAAGGTTAATGATAATGAAAAGTACAGTCTCATCTTTGCAAGAAACAAAGTAATGCAAGTTTCATCCCCAGGAAGCTGAAATAGATTAGATACTCTATAAAAACCAAAACATACAATAGCTAGACTTTGGCAGGCAAAGACCATCTGTCAGGGATGCTACAGAAGTGCAAGATGAGATTAGATAAGACAATGTCTAGCCAGGCACAGTGGCTCATGCCTCTAATCCCAGCACTTTGGGAGGCTGAGGTGGGAGGATCACCTGAGGTCAGGAGTTTGAGACCAGCCTGGCCAACATGGTGAAACCCTCTCTCTACTAAAAATACAAAAATTTGCCAGGCATGGTGGTGGGTGCCTGTAATCCCAGCTACTCGGGAGGTTAAGGCAGGAGAATGGCTTGAATCTGGGAGGCGGGTTGCAGTGAGCCAAGGTTGCGCCATTGCACTTCAGCCTGGGGCGACAAGAGTGAGATTCCGTCTCAAAAAAAAAAAAAAAGAAAGAAAGAAAGAAAAGAAATTGTCTCATGATTGACATATATGCAAGGGAGAATGGAGATTATTTGCTTCCTTTATTAGGTTGCAAATTTCTTGAGGGTATAAATCATATTTTATTTATTTTTGAGATATTTTATTTTATTTATTTATTTTATTTTGAGTCTTGCCCTGTAGCCTAGGCTGGAGTGCAGTAGGGTGATCTCAGCTCACTGCAACCTCTGCCTCCCAGGTGCAAGCGATTCTCTTGCCTCAGCCTCCTGAGTAGCTAGGATTACAGGTATGCGCCACCACACCCAGCTAATTTTTGTATTTTTAGTAGAGATGGGTTTTTGCCATGTTGGCCAGGCTAGTCTTGAACTCCTGACCCCAAGTTATCTGCCCACATCAGTCTCCCAAAATGTTGAGATTATAGGCATGAGCCACCATGCCCAGCCTTAAATCATATTTTACAAATCTTTATATAATCTAGACAATGCTGGACTAGACAATTATGTAATAAGTACTTGCTGATGAGTAGATTGGTTGAAGCAAAAGAAATAATCACAGCATAAGGGAAACATAGTAACTTACTTCTGTCTGCCCTGGTTTCACAGTTGCATGGTAAGCAATCATGAGTGAGCTATTAGGAAAGGGCCAGTGCTGGGATGCACAGTACTGCAGGCTTTCCACCTCCAATCCCACCTCTTCTGCAACTTCTCGACGGACAGTCTCTTCCACACTTTCACCTACAAGCACTCAGATTAATTCAGGACAGCGCTGTAGCTGGAAGGGTGATACAGACAGCCTATTTGAGAAAGGTTCCAAACACTGGCTCCAAAGTTTCAATGAAATGCTCTTAGGAGGGTCCTAAAACTCCAAATCTTTCCAACAATAAGAATCAGGTCCAGAGTTGTGTGTTGAACCACAGTGCTTAAGCCTGCTAGGTTACTTATAATGCAAAGTAAGGGTGACAGGAGGGACTACTGCCTTCAGCTTTCATAAAAATCCACTTTTCACCATTTGCAAATTTGACCCCAATAGACTGAAGAAGAAAAAAAAACCTGTAAATAAATACTGAATTCTAGCTAATGTTATGTATGCTGAAATAATTAGGGAGAACTATACTAATATCTGCAATCTATTAATGAATAGATAGGTGGGCAGCTATGTGATAAAGTAAGTGTAGTAAAAATTCATGAAATCTAGAGGTGTGCTCAGAGCAGGGGGCCTGAAGAATGGCTCCTCTGTCTATAACACACCCAACAGGAATCTGGAGTCATTGCGATGAGAGCCATGAAACTTGTGGCCTCCCTACAAACAAATGCTCTACATGTGAAGAGGGAAAAAAAAGTACAGAATTTGGGTAGTGGGATATGGGTGTTCACTATATAATTATTTCAACAATCTCATATGTTTGAAAATTTGCTTAAAAAAATATTAGTGTGGCTCACACCTGTAATCCCAATACTTTGGGAGGTCAAGGCAGGCAGATCACTTGAAGCCAGGAGTTCAAGACTGGCCTAGGCAACATGGTGAGACCTATCTCTACAGAAAAATTTAAAATTTAGCCAGGCATGGTAGCCTGTACCTGTAGTCCTAGCTATTCGGGAAGCTGAGGTGGGAGGATTGCTTGAGCCCAGAGAGTTGAGGCTGCAGTAAGCCATGATTGTGCCTCTGCACTCCAGCCTGAGCAACAGGATGAGACTCCTCTGTCTCAAATAAAAAGGAAAGGAGAAAAAAAAATTATATATATATATATATATATATATATATATATATGTATATAGCCAGAAAGCAGTTTTCTTGACATGATAGAAAAGAATGTGCTTGGGAATCCAAGCACTATAGCAACAAGAAAGAGAAACACTTACTATTAAGACTTTATGTCTTCCAGTGTCACCTGTATATCCTCTAAACTCCTTACCTATATCACAAAAACCTGCCAAGGCAGAATACATTCCCTTGGGAAAGGAGCTTTGGCGGGCAAGCAGGCATCGGTTCCCATCTGACACCAGAGTGATCACCACAGGAGCCACCTAGGAAAAGGGAATGGAAACTGAGATGCTGGCACTTTGGGGCCTGCCAATGGGCTAAAGCAATGTATAATTAAGAAATTGTACAGGCTTCCTTCCCCAGGACAGAGCAGTGCACAGTCTTGGATTACTGTCCTCTTACAGCAATGCTTACCTGTGGATAATAGATGATATTATTGGAAGGGCACACACGCTTGCTGCCAGCCACGTTCTTCTTGGTGGGCTGCCCACTTCTGCTGCAGAACTGATGAGCATCATGCCAGCGGAGAAGAGCTTGAGCCTAGGAACACAAAGATAGGCCTGGTTTCATTTGGAGAGAATGTGGGGCTCATCTTTAACAGCACTGGGCCTAGTATCTGGAGCAACTCAGAGAAATGCCAGTCCCTTTCCAGCTCACGTAATTTAAATGGTTACTGTTTAAATTTTAAGACAAGGAAACGAACGGAACATTTTCCTCTAGCATCAGAAATTATTATTATTATTTTTTTTTTGAGGCGGAGTTTCGGTCTTGTTACCCAGGCTGGAGTGCAATGGCACGATCTCTGCTCACCACAACCTCCGCCTCCTGGGTTCAGGCAATTCTCCTGCCTCAGCCTCCTGAGTAGCTGGGATTACAGGCACGCGCCACCATGCCCAGCTAATTTTTTTTGTATTTTTAGTAGAGACGGGGTTTCACCATGTTGACCAGGATGGTCTCGATCTCTTGACCTCGTGATCCACCCGCCTCGGCCTCCCAAAGTGCTAGGATTACAGGCTTGAGCCACCACGCCCGGCCCCAGAAAGTATATTTTTAAATGTATTATGATTTTAAACATATGAAGTATATAAAGTAATAAAACGAACACCCATGTATTCATTAACCAGCTTAAAGACAATTCCAGTATAGTTGAACACTCCAAAATGTTCTTCTCCCTAGTAAATTTGAAATTTTTTGCAATTAAAAAATGTTTAGAGGTTTCTTTTTAAATTAAAGGCACGATAAAAATACTTTAGCAAGTGAAATCTAAAGCTGCGAGGGCAAGTCATTAAAGCAATGTAAAATAATTTATCATAGGGAAAACATGATACTGTACATGTCATGCCGTGTGGGTTGTTAAAAATGTTTATGTGGCTGACAGATCCTGTTGCCATAGATCTGCATGTCCTTAGGAGACAATGGCCTTGACAGTGGTTCTGCCAAAAACAAGGACAAAAAAAGGAAGATTAAGCAATCTTCCTACAGCACATTGTCCTGCCAGTGTTTGTAGAAGGGACTATAATTAGCAAAAGACGAAATCAAACCACTCTAGCCTTGTGTATGTACACATGGATTTGCCCATACATACCGCTTTACTAAATTTCCTACAGAATGAGAAATCAGAATCTACCGTGGACAGCAAGGAGGCATCCTTTGCATTAAGTTGAAAGAGAGCCTTTCTCAGCTCAATGAAAGACCCCTTGAGCTCTGTCTCCATTTCAGGTTTGGGTAAGGAGGCTAGAAAATTAGAAAAGATAATGAAATTAAACAAATGACAAACTTTGCCTCAGGGCCTCTCTCCAGTCTATCCTGTTAAAGCAGTGTTTCCCAAACTTGTCTTATAAGATTCAACTGGAGAAAGTAAAAAATATCCAGGTTCTAAGCTGGAGGTGGTGGCATGTGCCTGTAGTCCCACCTACTCAGGAGGCTGAGGCAGAAGGATGGCTTGAAGCCATTGGGAGTTTCAGGCTACATACGGTGCACTATGATCACACCCGTAAATAGCCACTGCACTCCAGCGAGACCCCATCTCTAAAATTTATAAAAGGCCAAGCACAGCATTTTGGGAGGCCAAGGCAGGTGAGTCACTTGAAGTCAGGAGTTTGAGATCAGCCTGGCCAACATGGTGAAACCCCATCCCACTAAAAACACAAAAATCAGCCAAGTGTGGTGGCGGGCACCTGTAATCCCAGCTACTCGGGAGGCTGAGGCAGGAAAATCGCTTGAAACTGAGAGGCAGAGTTTGCAGTGAATTGAGATCGTGCCACTGCATTCCAGCCTGGGTTTGAGAGCAAGACTCTGTCTCAAAATAAATAAACAAATAAATTTATAAAGTAAAATTAAAAATCTAGATTCTCAAGCCCCTACCTGGAGATTCTAAACCAGCTGGCATGGAGTGAGGCCCAGCAATCTCTATTTTTTGTCTTAACAAGCACCAGGTGATTCTTATATTCAGGACAGTTTGGGAAACATTAGCATATAATATTTGTCAAGATCTTTGGGGCAACAAGAACATTTGCATTAGCTTATCCTTGGAAAAGGGATGAAGTAGGACCTCATGGCTCCTATCTGAACCTCATCCCAGCATCACTACATTTACACCTAGACCGTTAAAGACAGAAGGAAAGCCTGATAGGAGCCATGAGCCATTAGCAAAGTGGTTCCCAACTGCAGGTTTCTGGACCCAGAGCTACTCTACGGAAACATTTTTTATTCAACTGTATCGATAAAAGAAATAAGAATGATGTCATACGTTTTTTAACATTTCTTATGGCATACTGAAGTACACAAAATGTATAGGGCAGGTGTGGTGGCTCATACCTATAATCTTAGCACTCTGGGAGACTTAGGAGGAAGGAAGGACTGCTTGTGCCAGGAGTTTGAGACCACCTAGGCAACATAAGGAGACCCCCACCTCTTTGAAAAAAAAAATTAAGCAGGGCGCGGTGGCTCAAGCCTGTAATCCCAGCACTTTGGGAGGCCGAGGCGGATGGATCACGAGGTCAAGAGATCGAGACCATCCTGGTCAACATTGTGAAACCCCGTCTCTACTAAAAATACAAAAAATAAGCTGGGCATGGTGGCGTGTGCCTGTAATCCCAGCTACTCGTGTGCCTGTAATCCCAGCTACTCAGGAGGCTGAGGCAGGAGAATTGCCTGAACCCAGGAGGCGGAGGTTGCGGTGAGCCGAGATTGTGCCATTGCACTCCAGCCTGGGTAACAAGAGTGAAACTCCGTCTAAAAAAAAAAAAAAAAAAAAAATTAAATTAAAAATTAGCTGGGCGCCAGTCACGGTGGCTCACCCCTGTAATCCCAGCACTTTGGGAGGCAGAGGCGGGCAGATCACAAGCTCCAGAGATCCAGACCATCCTGGTCAACATAGTGAAACCCTGTCCCTACTAAAAATACAAAACATTAGCTGGGCATGGTAGCGGGTGCCTGTAATCCCAGCTACTCAGGAGGCTGAGGCAGGAGAATTGCCTGAACCTGGGAGGTGGAGGTTGCAGTGAGCCGGGATCATGCCATTGCACTTCAGCCTGGGTAACAAGAGCGAAACTCTGTCTCAAAAAAAAAAAAAAAAAAAAAAAAAAAAAATTAGCTGGGCATGGTAGCACATGCCTGTGGTTCCAGCTACTCAGAAGGCTGAGGTGGGAGGATCGCTTGAGCCCAGGAGGTCAAGGCTGCAGTAAGCTGTGATTGTGCCACTGCACTCCAGCCTGGGCAACAGAGCAAGATGCTGTCTCAAAAACTAACTAAATGAACAAAATGTATAATGGTACAAAGACTAATACAATAAACATTCATGTACCCACCACCTAACTTAGAAAGCATTAAAATATCCTTTATTTTCATTTAAATGATGATGATAGTAGATGACAGTATTTTTAATGTCCTTTTTTAAAAAAAAAAGTTGATAACCTTTTGTATTCCCAAATTTTCCTTGAAATTTTACTATTCTGTGAAATCTCAAATTCTGAAGACCACTGGCAAGTACCTATTAGGAACAATGTTATGTACCAAGTATGGAAGAGGAGTTATCCAGGCCTAGATCCAGAGCAAACCATGCTTTCTGCTGCTCAGAGCATCCAATCAGCACAGAATCTTCTATTCTTTGTGCATCCTGTCCAAATTTACCCAAGAGCCTTTCCAACTCTAAGAAAGGAGAAGGGAGAAAATAAAAATACAGGCGTTTCTGTTAAATCACTACAGCCATATCAGACTCATAGAAAATCATCTGCTTCAGCTTAAAGTGGGTATACTTGGCTTCCAGTTGCTGCCCTGCAGCTAATTAGCTATGTAACCTTGGTCTAACCATTTAACCTCTCCAGACCTGTTTTCTCATTTGCAATCTGAGGACTTTAGACCAAAGAAGGAATTCTTGTATAACATTGTATTACTCTATGACTGTATCATGAAAGGAAAATATCCTCTAGTTAGTAAGATGCATGACAGTTAACTTATTAAAGCATTGAAAAAAAATAATAAGTATCACACTTAAAATGGTAGAGACCAAGGGTGGGGGCGGGGAGGATCACTTGAGGCCAGGAGTTTGAGACCAGCCTGGGCAACAGAGCAAGACCTCGTCTCTACAAAAAAATAAAATCAGCTGGGTGCAGTGAAGTGAACACCCATAGTCCCACTACTTGGGAGGCCAAGGTGGGACGATCTCTTGAGCCCAGGAGTTCAAGGCTGCAGAGGGCTATGATTGTACCTCTGTACTTTAGCATGGGCAATAGAGATCCTGTCTCAAAAAAAAATAAAAAGGTACAGACCAATCCAGTTCTATAATTAACCTCCAGAATGTGCTACTTTTGTGGACCAAAGTACAGTAGAATACTCATCTGAGATGCCAATCTCTAAGAAATGAGTGCTGTGTAGGGAGAAATCCTATACACTTGTTTATGAAGGACTCATATTTATTTGTTCATAAAACAACATAACGTATAAAAAACCATAATACAATATTAACAGTGCTAAATCTCTAAATAATGTTTAGTGCCTTCTGATGGAGTCCTCAGATTCTTCTGCACTGCTAGAAACTACCTATCCAAGTATTCCAACATCCGATCTATGGAGGAAATTCAGTGGCAATACAGAAGTTAGTCAGTGTATAGTGACTCATATAAAACTGAAAGTTCACATTTTGTTTTCTGCTTTTGACACTCCACCAGGCTCAACTGATTTTTTGTTTTTGAGTAGAGATAGGGTCTCATTATGTTGCCCAGGCTGGTTTTGAACTCCTGGGCTCAAGCAGTCCTCCCACCTCAGCCTCTCAAAGTGCTGGGATTATAGGTATGAGCCACCCAACCCAGCCAAAGTTTGAATTTTGAATAACAAATCTCGGTGGCTAAGACATCTTTAGTTATATATGCTAAAAGAGTTCTAAAAGCAAATTCATTTTAATTCACTTTTGATCTTGACCCTTCTAGTAAAAGAGAAGTTATGATATAAGTCTTAATTAGCGTAACAGTGTATACCTCCATGAAGGCTGGAATTCACTGCTCTAAGGCAAATATTGGCAAAGTTTTTCTGGAAAGAAATACTAAATATTTTAGGCTTCATGAGTCATATGGTCTCTGTCACAACTCTGCATTGTAGTGCAAAAGTAGCCATAGACAATATGTCAGTGAATGAGTATGGCTATGTTCCAATAAAAATTAATTTATGAAACAGGCAGCAGGTACAATTTGGACAGCAGTTTTGCCAACCTCTGGTTTAAGGCATTAGTGGTTCATTTCATCACCAAATAATATTTGACTGGACAACTAGAGTTCATACAATAAATTATTAGTTGGCAGAAGCAGTTATACAAGCATGAGACTCAAAAGCTTTTTGAGGCCGGGCGCGGTGGCTCAAGCCTGTAATCCCAGCACTTTGGGAGGCCGAGGCGGGTGGATCATGAGGTCGAGAGATCGAGACCATCCTGGTCAACATGGTGAAACCCTGTCTCTACTAAAAATACAAAAAATTAGCTGGGCATGGTGGCGCGTGCCTGTAATCCCAGCTACTCTGGAGGCTGAGGCAGGAGAATTGCCTGAACCCAGGAGGCGGAGGTTGCGGTGAGCCGAGATCGCGCCATTGCACTCCAGCCTGGGTAACAAGAGCGAAACTCCGTCTCAAAAAAAAAAAAAAAAAAAAAAAAAAAAAAAAAAAAAAGCTTTTTGAAAAATCTAGACTCCAAAATTCAAGGATCTTTCTTTTTATTTTATTTTATTTTATTGCATTTTAGGATTTGGGGTACATGTGAAGAACATGCAAGATTGTTGCATAGGTACACATGTGGCAGTGTGATTTGCTGCCTTCTTCCTCATCACCTCTATCTGGCATTTCTCCCCATGCTATCTCTCCCCAACTCCCCACCCTCCAAGGTTCTTTCTTAGAATTCATTATGGAGTGAATTCTGCTTAGTGGACATAGGCCGGTCAACTCCACTGGCTTACTCTGGACTTACCTAATAGGCTATGCTGGGGGGCCGCATATTGATGTGCTGAAGTCTGAAGCAGAGGAGCCAGACCATGAAAGAGGTAAAATGCTCCTGTTTGCTGGGCTTTTTTACATGCATCATCGTCTTCCTTCAGTTCAAATAAATACCTGTATTTGGGAAATAATCAAACCATTACAAAACCACACTTAGTTACATGTATAGCATTCATCTTTGAGAATGCTGCTGCTGCATCCCTCTCCTACCATGGTCATTTCCCTTTATTTATTTGCAGCCTAATTTGCTCCAAAAAGGATTTGAGGCGGCTATAGGTAATCATTCTCTCTTTTGTCTTACTGCGTACCTCGCCCATACTTCTGTGGTGGCAATACTGGTTTATTTGTTCATTTGTCTCTCTCCTCTGAGAGACTATGATTACCTTAAGGGGAACGTATGCTTTACCCAGCTGTGTATCTCTGTAGTTAGCATATCAAATGGCTCGATTGAATAAATATTTATTGAATTAAACTTCAAGGGTAATAAATATTTGCTGAATTGAACTTCAAGGTGCTCTGCCAATATTACACTGTGAGGCAGAAATTTACATGCAGTGGAGTGAAAGGAAAACAAGTACAGTGATAAAACATCAACCACAAAATACCTAGAGATGGGAACAGACTTTTACACAGCAGGTAAAGAGCAAATACTATCTTCAGTGACCCTCATTCAATCTAGGGAAGATAAAGAACAAATTTTACCTTCAACATACCCTTACTTCAAATACCTAGATCTCAAAGTAGATATCGTTAGCTCCTTATCACTATCAATGGGGGCATTGATGAAACTATACTTCTTAACCTATTTAATAAGGATAGTATTTCTTTTCTTTTCTTTTCTTTTTTTGAGATGGAGTCTTTCTCTGCCACTCAGGCTGTAGTGCAGTGGCACTTCTACCTCCCAGGTTCAGGCAATTCTCATGCCTCAGCCTCCTGAGTAGCTGGGATTACAGGCATGCTGTACCATGCCCAGCTCATTTTTGTATTTTAGTAGAGATGGGGTTTCATCATGTTGGCCAGGTTGGTCTCGAACTCCTGACCTCAAGTGATCGGCCCTCGGCTTCCCAAAGTGCTGGGATTACAGACATGTGCCACTGCACCAAGCCATAGTATTTTTAGTAGCCAAAATGAAAATGGGGAAAAAGGGAACATCCTCCCTTTTGAAATGAACATTCTTCATTTCTCAAAAAGAGGCAATAGTAATGGGGTAAGTACTAGGCTTTTCCAGTACCTTCGTTAAGGGTGGGCTGAGTCTCTCCCTTGTGATCAGCAGGGACAGAATGCAGATTCTCCTGGGACCTTAGGGTTAACCATTTTTGCATGTCCCAAGCCCTAAAACAGACTCTCAGGTAAAAACTTTTTTGCTGCTTTTGTCAAGTGGGAAAAACAGTTTGCACATATTTCCTGTGGGATCTGGGAACTCTTGTAATACTGGTAGGCAAAGTTGGCTCAGCATGAAAATAAAAAGCAAAAAGACAAATGCACTCCAGTGGTATCTCTCAGAACCTATTCTGATAGTATGATACAAGGGGTTACAATGAGCTCTTTATAAATCAAAGACAAAAGAAACCTGATCTTTTAAGACTCATGATATTTTTAAACTTATTATGAGTGACTATAGCCTCCTGGGGCAGAGACTCAATGTATGTCAAAGAGAGACATGTGCCACTCAGAAGTTACCAAATATAAACAATAGAACAAACACTGCTGCCTTCGTAAAAGCCCAGAAAGAGTGGTACAAACTGTACTTGCCCTAATGACCCTAAAAAGCAAAACACCCAGGTTCAGGTCTTAGACCCAGGGCCTCACTGGAACTGGAATTGAGATCCAAAAGTTCCTTACACTCCTCTGGATCGGGAACTCTTATTTTTAAAAATTCATTTTCTCTTTTCAGTTATAATAGCACAGAAATTGCTAAGATTATCAAAGCTGAAAATATTTAGATTATTTTAAAACACATTTCTTATTTTAATAGTAAAAAAGTTATTCTTTAATAATCAGAATATACAGTTGTCAATTTTTTGAAAAGATAATCCCACTACTCAGGGATGACAGCACTGTTTACACTTTGCAATTTTCTAAACAATTAATATTATACATCAATACATATATAATTATAGTTAGAATCCATCAAATCTACTAATTTGTAGTCTTTTTTCTTAAACATATGGAAACATTTTCACATTGTATTCTTTATTGATACACTTTTATTTTCTCTCTCTCTCGCTCTCTCTCTCTCTTTTTTTTTTTCCCGAGACACAGTTTCGCTCTTGTCCAGGCCAGAGTGCACGATCTCAGCGCACTGCGACTTCTGCCTCCTGGGTTCAAGTGATTCTCCTGCCTCAGCTTCCCAGGTAGCTGAGATCACAGGCATCCGCCACCACGCCGGGCTAATTTTTGTATTTTTAATAGAGATGGGGTTTCACCATGTTGGCCAAGCTGGTCTCAAACTCCTGACCTCAGGTGATCCACCGGTCTCAGCGTCCCAAAATGCTGGGATTACAGGTGTGAGCCACCCCACCCAGCCTCATTTTTATTCATTCTTAAATATATTTATTTAATCACTTTAACATACTTAACTTTTAGACTCTATTCAATAATTTTATTATTATTTTTGTAGTCTGTTTAAGGCAGGCGTCCCCAAACTACGGCCTGCGGGCCGCATGTGGCCCCTTGAGGCCATTTATCCGGCCCCCCCGCCGCACTTCAGGAAGGGTCACCTCTTTCACTGGTGGTCAGTGAGAGGAGCACAGTATGTGGCGGCCCTCCAACGGTCTGAGGGACAGTGAACTGGCCCCCTGTGTAAAAAGTTTGGGGACACCTGTGAACTAAATGTCCAACAATATCTGAAACAAGTATCACAATTTTGTTGTTTGTTCACTCCTGTTCATATAGGATTATATGTTAATGTGCCTCTAATTTTTGTTTTTCTTTGAGACACTCTATCAGGCTGGAGTGCAGTGGCACGATCTCAGCTCATTGCAAACTCCACCTCCCAGGTTAAAGCAACTCTCCCACCTCAGCCTCCTGAGTAGCTGAGACTACAGGTGCACGTCACCATGCCTGGCTAATTTTTGTATTTTTAGTAGAGACAGGGTTTCACCCTGTTGGCCAGGCTGGTCTTGAACTCCTGACCTCAAGTGATCTGCCTGCCTTGGCCTCCCAAAGTATTGGGATTACAGGCATGAGCCACTGCACCCAGCCTTTATGTGCCTCTAAATTTTGGACTGGGCACTCATACTTAGTAGGGCTTTATATGTAGGAATCACTGGTTGTAAGTATACACTTCCTATATGAAGTTTTATATTTGTATTTACATGGTGCCCCAAGGGTATTTTCAGTCCAAGATTACTACTTAAATTCATTTCTTAGGCTGGGCATGGTGGCTCATGCCTATAATCCCGGCACTTTGGGAGGTAGAGGCAGGAGGACTGCTTGAGCCCAGGAGTTTTGAGACCAGCCTGGGCAACAAAGCAAGACCCTATCTTTACAAATAAATAAATAAATAAATCAGCCAGGCATGGTGGTGCACAAGTAGCTAGGCATGTGATCCTAGCTACTTGGTGGGAAATTGCTTCAGCCCGGGAGGTTGAGGCTGCAGTGAGCTATGATAACACCACTGCATTCCAGCCTGGGTGACAGAGCAAGATCCTGTCTCAAAAAAAAAAAAAAAATTATTATTATTTCTTAGGTTAAGGGTTCTAGGACCATACCACACAGGTGGTATAAATTTAACCCTCAAAACTGTATGAAAGCAGGCTACTGATTTCAGATTCACAGATTTCAGGTTTCTCCAGGTTGAGACAAAAAAGTCTTCATCATCTTCATATGCTATTGTAGATTTTTTTTTTCCAACTCTACCTTTCACTGAAGTTTAGTTCTTGGGGGGAGGGTTTGGAGTTATCTACCTTATTAACAAGAAACGTCATGAAATATTATTCGATACAGTTTTTTTAATCTGAAGTAACAGGTATAGAACAATATAGTTTTAACATGTTTATTATTCTATTATAGTACCTTAATTTACTTAATTTCTCTCTTACTGTTCATTCATTCAATACTTTAGTGCCTACCATATGCCAGGCATTGTTTTATGAAGTAGGTATACCACAGTGGAAAGACAAAGTCTGATCTTAATAGAACTTATATTCAAGTGTGTGAGCTATTTTAGATATTATTGGATATTCAGTTTGTTTAAAATTTTTCAGCTGGGTGCGGTCGCTTACGCCTGTAATCCCAACACTTTGGGAGGCCAAGGCAGGTGGATTACCTGAGCTCAGGAGATCAGACCAGCCTGGGCAACAATGGCAAAAGCCTGTCTCTACACAAAAACACAAAAATTAGCCAGGCATTGTGGCATGTGCCTATAGTCCCAGCTACTTGGGGGTCTGAGATGGGAGGATCACTTGAGCCCAGGAGATCAAGGTTGCAGTAAGCCAAGATTGTACCACTGCACTTCAGCCTGAGTGACAGAGTGAGACTCCCTCTCTAAAAAAAAAAAATAATGTTTTAATGTTTACTGGTTTATTATAAAGGATATTACAAAGGACACAAATGAAGAGATGCATTTGGGTCAGATATGTGTGGGGAGGGTGCAGAGCTTCCATGCCTACCTGGGTGTGCCACCCTCCAGGAATCTCCATGTGTTCAGCTATCCAGAGGCTCTCTGAACCCCGTCCTTTTGGGGTTTTCTGGAAGCTTCATTGAAAAGGCATGATTGATAACCATGTAGAAATGTGATTGGACAAAATGGTTATGAGTTCATACTAACAGACTGACAGAAAACCCAGCAAGGCCTGTCTGTTCAGGTTCTTCTTGGCCTCTCTGTTCAGGTTCTTCTTGGCCTCTCTGTGCAGCCTTCCTTCCTCCAGAGTATGGGGCATGACCCCCTCTGGAATGAGGGTCTTTGGACCCACAGTCAGGTTAGAGCCCTGCCGTGGGCAGGTAAAAGGAGGACAGGAGAAGGTAAAAGAGATTTTGTTTCCTGAGGCTTGCCCCTGAGGTCTAAAGTGTCCCACATTATAACAAAAGACTGTAATAAGGGCCATGGGAGTTATGAGCCAGGAATCATGGAAGAATATATAATAATAATCATAAACCTAATTTATATATATATATATATATAAAATTATAATATCACAATAATTTAATGGGCCAAACAGAATAATCAGAGCTCAGGTTGGTCAAAACTCACCGTGTCTTAGTAACATAGGTTGACAGCAGCCTGTAGCACCAAAAAAATTTTCTCTTGAAAGCTATTCCACAATACAGGGACATTGTCAGGTCCTTAGAAAAAAAAGGAGTTTAAAAAAAGTCATAATATGAAATTTAAAGTAATGAATTGCCAAGAGGGTTATATTTTAAGCCAGGATGGGAAAGACAAGTTCATCAGGAGTCAACTGTGGTTACTTCCACTGAGAAGAGGCCAGGTTCCCTAGTATTTAAGAGAGCTGTTTTGAGAGTCCATTTCTCTATGACTGTGGACCTCCTCGGGATGGGGAAATATGGAAAACTGAGGAACCACAGGAATACAGCTTTGAAGGTCTCACTGACCTGCTTTACAGTTTGCTTTCTAAAAAATTATTTTTCCTCCCTTAACTCAAAAATTAAGACAGGTGGCTTATGCCTGTAATCCCAGCACTTTGGGTGGTCGAGGTGGGCAGATCACTTGAGGTCAGGAGTTCCAGATCAGACTGACCAACATGGTCAAACCCGTCTGTACTAAAAATACAAAAATTAACAACAACAACAAAAAAAAAATACAAAAATTTGCCGAGTGTCGTGGCAGGCACCTGTAATCCCAGCTGCTCAGGAGGCTAAGGCATGAGAATCAGCTGAACCCAGGAGGCAAAAGTTGCAGTGAGCCGAGATCGTGGCACTGTACTACAAGCCAGGGCGACAGAGCAACACCCTGTCTCAAAAATAAATAAATATTTAGGCACAATGTGAGAAGTTAGCAAGTTCCATTTTTAAATGAGTCTCAAAAAAAGTATCAGAAAATTATTAGCTGTGGTTACTGAGATAGCTCTACAGTTGTTAGGCAAAACTATGGTCATAACCCTGGTTTCTGCAACAAGGAAGAGATTAAACAAAAGTGGTAAAGTGCTGTTACCAAGACCTTTTTTCAAGTTCTGATCATGCCTCCCCGCGAAGTCCTTCTTGCACTTAGAAACTGAGCAGGTTTCTGTTTCACTGCACTTACTCTGAATTATTTTCAGGGCACCTTCCTAGTCCTCAGGAATCAGCAGGAAGGAAACGCCAAAGGTTCACGTTCAATGGCTTCCTTTCCCCGGAGAGATCATTGCTGCTTCTGCCACACTTCCCAGAATCCTCTTAGAGATGCACTCTGGGAATTGTAGTTCAGTTCCCATGCCCGCTGCTGTGTTCTCCGACTGCAAGTTAACCATGATTGTCAAAAGCATGATCCTCTAAGATCTTATTACCAAGAGAAGTACTGTATCCTTGGAGAAATTCGATAGCATTATATCCATTTTTTAATTAAAAAAGATAAAGTCATTAAATCCACTCTCATACGCAGAAGGCATAACGAGGCTGGGGTTGGGATGAAGTAGGGGTGGGAATCAGATACCTTTCAGCCTTTCTGTATCTCTAGTTATCTCTGTCTGCACACTTTAGAACTAGCTCTAAAATTTCATGGAATTTTTCCAATTTAAAAGGATAGGAATCTGTATAGATTTGTTTGAGCTTATGGTAGGATTCATTTCTTGACCAGAGGAAGAGCATTCCGTTTGACTGGAAGCAGCCTCCTAACAGAGATACTTTGGTGCTGCTCTCTTCTCATTGTGCTACTAAAGTTCCTTCCCTATGAGATAAGACACTTTTTTTTTTTTTTTTTTTTTTTGAGATAGAGTCACTGTCGCTCAGGCTGGAGAGCAGTGGCACAATCTTGGCTCACTGAAAACTCCTCTGGGGTTCAAGCAGTTCTGCCTCAGCCTCATGAGTAGCTGGGATTACAGGCATGCGCCACCACATCTGGCTAATTTTTGTATTTTTAGTAGAGCTGGGTTTCACCATGTTGGCCAGGCTGTCTTGAACTTCTGATCTCCAGTGATCCACTTGCCTCAGCCTCCCAAAATGGTGGGATTACAGGTGTGAGACACCATGCCCAGCCAAGAGAAGACACTTTTGAAGTCCACTCATTCAACATATATTTAATCAGTACCCAATGCGCCTGGGACTGTTATAGGAGTAGGATACAGCAGCAAACAAAACAAGAAAATCTCTGTCCTCATGTAACTTACATTCTAAAAGGGGAAAAGGAAAAAGTAAATATACAATGTGTCATGTGGTTATAAAGCTTAGAAAGAAAAATTAAGCAAGATAAATAGAGGGATTAGTTTGCTATTGTATATAGGATAGTCAGCCTCATTGTTAAGATAATATTTAAATGAAGACCCTGAAGAAGGTGAAGAAACCAAGTTTATATCTATGGGAAGAGATTTGTAGATAGAGCAATAGGCAAAGGCCCTGGCATGGGAGTGTGCCTTGCACGTTTGAGGAAAGGCTAGGAAAGAGCATGGTGGTCAGAAATGAGATCAGAGTAGGCCACACACGGTGGCTCACGTCTGTAATCCCATCACTTTGGGAGGCCAAGGCAGGCACATTGTTTGTGGTCAGGAGTTTGAGACCCATGGCCAACATGGTGAAACTCTGTCTCTACTAAAAATACAAAAATTAAGGTAGGTGTGGTGTCGTATACCTGTAGTCCCAGCTACTTGGGAGGCTAAGGCTAAGCTGAGATTGCACCACTGCACTGCAGCCTGGGTGACAGAGTGAGACATAGTCTCAAAAACAAAAAACAAAAAACAAAAACCAGATTGGTTCATTATCCTTAAGGAAGACACAGAAAATTGTAGGGAAACAAGATATAAAGTCAACAGATTCTAAGGAGATGGAGTATCATGCTTAGGGGGAAATTGGGGCACTAATAATTTTAAAAGTCAAAATAACTTTTTTGTAGTAATTGTTAAGGGCTATAATAATAAAAATAGCTCAGACTGAGCATTTGCTATGTTCCAGGCACTGTGCTAAGTGTCCCACGTGTTTCTCATTAATCCTTACATTCTATGAGATAGTATTAAAATTCATACTTTAGGCTGAGTGTGGTGACTCACACCTGTAATCCCATCACTTTGGGGGTCGAGGCAGGAATATTGCTTGAGTTCAGGAGTTCAAGACACCAGCCTGAGCAACATGAAATACCATCTCTACAAAAAATACAAAAATTAGCCAGGCATGGTGGCATGTACTTGTGGTCCCAGCTGAGTAGTCCAGGAGGCTGAGATAGGAGGATTGCTTGAGCCCATGAGGTTGAGGCTGTAGTGAGCCACGATCATGCCACTGCACTCCATCCAGACTGGCAACAGAGACCCTGTCTCCAAAAAAAAAAAAAAAAAAAAAAAAAAAAAAAAAAATGCACTTTACAGATGAGATAACAGAGGCCTAGAAAAGTTAAGTAATTTGTCCATATTTATACAGCTAGTCAGTAGAAGGGCTATAATATTAACCTATAATATCTGCCTAACTCAAGAAAGAATCTGTGCTTTTGACCACCATACCATAGACCTGGATTGTGTCTCTGACTGGGTGTGAGGTAGGAAAATTGAACATACATGTTGGAAAATATTGGAGTGATGGAAAGAATTCCATGTTCATAGATTGGAAGGCTTAATTTGGTTAAAATGGCATATTCCCCAAATTGATCTACAGATTCAATGCTATTTCTATCAAAATCTCATCTGGCTTTTTTTGCACAAGCAACAGAGGAAAATATAGGACATTATCAAAAATTTTAAAACTTTGTGCTACAAACAATACCATGAAGAATGTAGAAAGACAACCCATAGAATTGGAAAAATTATTGCAAGACATGTATCTGTTAAGGGACTTGTATCTAGAATATGTAAAGAACACTTAAAACTGCCAGGCTCGGTGGCTCACGCCTGTAATCCCAGCACTTTGGGAGGCCGAGGCGGGCAGATCACGAGGTCAAGAGATCAAGACCATCCTGGCCAACATGGTGAAACCCCATCTCTACTAAAAGTACAAAAAATTAGCCGAGCGTGGTGGTGCATGTCTGTAGTCCCAGCTACTCAGGAGGCTGAGGCAGGAGAATTGCTTGAAACTGGAAAACGGAAGTTACAGTGAGCCAAGCTCGCACTACTGCACTCCAGCCTGGTGATAGAGCGAGACTCTGTCTCAAAAAAAAAAAGAACACTTAAAACTTACAACACAGAAACAGGCATGGTGGCTCACACCTGTAGTCCCATCACTTTGGGAGGCTGAGGTAGGCGGATCACAAGGTCAGGAATTTGAGACCAGCCTGGCCAATATGGTGAAACCCCATCTCTACTAAAAAATACCAAAAAAAGTGTCTAAACATCCTGCTTATACCACACACACACACACACACACACACACACACACACACACACACCCAAAAAATTAGCTGGACGTGGTGGTGTGCGTCTGCAGTCCCAGCTACTCAGAAGGCTGAGGCAGGAGAATCACTTGAACCCTGGAGGTGGAAGTTGCAGTGAGCAGAGATCGCACCACTGCATTGCAGCCTGGGTGACAGAGTGAGACTCCGTCAAAAAAATAAATAAATAAATAAAAAAGCAACATAAGAAAACCTTATAATACAGTAGTAAAAAGATAAAAAACCAAATTTAGAAATTAGCAAAGGATCTGAAGATCTGAATAAATATGTCTTCAAGGAAGATACAAAAATGACCCATAAGCACATGAAAAGATTTGCATGGGAGATGCAAATCAAAATCATAATGAGACATCGTTATATACCCACTATGATAGCTACAGTCAAAATGCAGATAATGACAAGGAGTGGTGAGGATGTGGAGGAATTGGAATCCTCATACACAGCTGGTAAGATTGTGAACAGTGCTGCTGCTTTTGAAAACAGTTTGGCGGTTCCTCATAAAGTTAAATATAGAGTTACCAAATGACCCAGCAATTTTAGTCCTGGGTGTATATTCCTAAGAGAATTGAAAACAAATGTCCACAAAAACTGTAAATGAATTTTTGTGACAGCATTATTCACAATAGTCAAAAAAGTACAAACAACTCAAATGACTTATCAACTGATAAATGGAGAAGCAAAATGTGGCATATCCAACCATACAATGGCATTTTCCTGGCAACAAAGAAGTAAGATATATACTACAATATGAATGAAGCTGGAGTGCAATGGCACAATCACAGCCCACTGCAGCCTCGACCCCCCAGGCTCAAGTGATCCCTCCTCAGCCTCTGGAGTAATCGGGAACACAGGTGCATGCCACCACACGCGGCTAATTGTGTGTGTGTGTGTGTGTGTGTGTGTGTGTGTGTGTGTGTGTATGTGGTATTTTTTCTTTGAGACAGAGTCTTGCTCTGTCACCCAGGCTGGAGTGTAGTGGCGCGATCTCAGCTAACTGCAACCTCCGCCTCCCAGATTCAAGCCATTCTCCTGCCTCAGCCTCCTGAGTAGCTGGGACTACAGGCACGAGCAACCACACCCAGCTAATTTTTTGTATTTTTAGTAGAGACGGGGTTTCACCATGTTAGCCAGGATGTCTCGATCTCCTGACCTCGTGATCCACCCGCCTCGGCCTCCCAAAGTGCTGGGATTACAGGCTTGAGCCACCGCGCCCGGCGGATTTCTTCAAACTAATGACACTCTTTAGTTTGTTGTGGATGTCCTCATTAAGTTCCGAGAAAAAAATATATATAGATTTCTTTTTTGGGCAGGGCACTGTAGCTCACGCCTGTTATTCCAGCACTTTGGGAGGTCTAGGTGGGAGGACTGCTTGAACTCAGGAGTTCAAGACCAGCCTGGCCACATGGTGAGACCTTGTCTCTGCAAACAAAACAAAACAAAACCAAACCCCACAGAAAACCCAGATGTGGTTGTGCATGCCTGTAGTCCCAGCTATTTGGGAGGCGGGATCACTGGAACTCAGTAGTTGGAGGTTACAGTGAGCTATGATCATGCAACTCCACTCCAGCCTGGGTGACAGAGTGAAACCCTGCCTTTAAAAACTTTTAGGCCGGGCGCGGTGGCTCACGCCTGTAATCCCAGCAATTTGGGAGGCCAAGGTGGGTGGATCACGAGGTCAGGAGATCGAGACCATCCTGGCCAACACAGTGAGACCCTGTCTTTAAAAGAAAAAAAAAAAAAATTAAAAAAAAATAAAATAAAAACTTTTTTCTTGGCCGGGCGCGGTGGCTCACTCCTGTAATCCCAGCACTTTGGGAGGCCGAGGCGGGTGGATCACGAGGTCAAGAGATCGAGACCATCCTGGTCAACATGGTGAAACCCCGTCTCTACTAAAAATACAAAAAATTAGCTGGGCATGGTGGCG